TTGAAGTCAGCCACCAACTGTCTCATTTGACGTAACAGTTGGGTGGGCTTTCTATCACCCAGCTGAACATCTCTGAATAGTTCCTGCCCTTTCTGTTGGTCGGTAAGTGCAACGCGCCTAATAAGCGCCTGCTTGAGACGCTCGTACAAGCCCGGGGATCGGTCCGCGAGGACATCAGATACTTCTTCCATGACGTTCTCAGGAAGACTTACGACAACCAGGTTCACCTTAGTCTCTTATGAGTGTATATTTCGTAGGGCGAACATAGCTTCGATGTGGTCGAACCATACAACAGGATGATGAGTCCAGAAGGTAGGGAGTTGCAAGGTGATAGCCATTTCTGAGGCGGAAGTGTTGTCGGCGATTCTGCACACGGGACGATATAACAATAAAATGATAACAAATATGATAAAAAATAAGAGGTATATACTTATCTGCAGTTGAAACGGTGGTAGGCTCGGAGAGTGTGCTAGGTGAAAGCACAGCGAGAGAGCGAAACCGAAACCGTACAGGAGGTTCACGAATCCAAAGAGGAAGTGGGGTTAAAGGTCAGGCTGAATTCGTTCAAACAAAAGTTCGAAGGTACAATGTACACTACAAAGGAATCATAATGAAAACATGAAATTTATAGGCCAAATTGAAATATAACGGAGGATATTGCTAGAGTACACTTCTTAGTTATTTTTGCATGTTTTTACTTAATTTTTTTCATATAGTAACGTGAGTGGAGAAAGTGCAGCACCATCTGTAATTCCGTAAATGATGGGAATCACGGGAGGAAATGAAAGCTAACATCTCGGGCGGATCTAGGTGGGATTCAAGGTGAACTGTGATAATTTGTGTAAGAAATCTAAGAAAATTCATCTGCGTTGTGAAAATGCTACTAGCACTCTAGAACGAGAAAAATCAAAAGGATTAATACGGGGAAAAATGACTACTGCCACAACGAAACCAAAAAGAGTAATTGCCATAAAGAACAATTATAGTAACCTGAGAGAATAAATAAAAACTACAAAACAATGTTAAACATGAAATCATTAGTTAACAAATTCTGCGTACCTCTTGGGCCAGTGGCTTGTTCGTGTAGGGCGTGCTTTAGGTGTTGTAACAGACTTACTGGAGGTAATAAGATGTTCATTTACGCTGTCTGGTTTGGAATTAGAAACAAAAGTTGTTGGGTTAGGGGGAGGAGAGGCTAACGATTCTTCTGTGTATGCCACTTTAAATCTGTTCAGGCTGACTGTACCGTGGCAGCCAAATTGATCGATAACGAAGATGTTTTCCTTCCTGCTGATAACCTTGAAAAGTCCATCATAAAGTGGTTGCAGGGGTTTACCTACGGCGTCACCACTCAAGAAAGCATGGTTGCCGTCCTCCAGCCCGTCGTCTACTTACACCTTCTTGTACTGAGTGTGTGTTGGAACTGGTTGGAGCCGTCGCATAATGCGTTTTAGATGCTGAATGTAACGGTGAACATCAGCAACACTCAGTTTAGCACCGTCTGGTGAAATAGTATCGCCGGACAAACTGGGTGTGGTTCTATACATCATCTTGGCAGCGGTACACCGGATATCAACCTTGAAGGTTGAACTGGTGCTAAGGAGGACCAAGGGAAGGGACGCTGTCTATTTGGTGATATCAACAGCCATTAACGCGGCTTCAAGTGGGCGGTGAAAACGCTCAACCAGTCCATTTCTAGATGGACGATGTGCCGATGTTCTGACGCGTTTGCATCACAACAGCTCTAACAGCCTCTCAAAAGTACCAATAAACGAACTACAAGCAAAAAGGCTTGTGACTGAGTAGTTCGCTCAAGGAGGACTACATTTTTACAACAGATTAAATGTCAAATTTAATAAATAAGAATACTGTATAACTTATCTGTTAATTGGCTGGGGTAGCAAGCTCAAGGGTTCGCTTGATGGTGGCAAAACGAGGGAGCAAGTCACGTGCGAGCAGTCATGCCGGGAGAAAAGTGAAGTCGCTGAGCCATATTACATGAATGCACTGAAGCAAAAGTTCAAACACTCAAGGTGCACTGGAGTACCCTGATATTCTAAATACGGACAGTTATTTTTAAGGATGATGGTTTTAGGAAGTTGCGTATCCATTAGCTACTTCCAATCGGTATCTTCACACAGCTGTCCCAGGTATAATCAATAGATGGACAAGGACAGTGCATTTAACTGGAATTGCAGTTATCAAATATTCAGGTACTTCGGAGGAAATTCGGAGGAAATTCGCTGTGATAATGATAAGTACCTGTCAGTGTTAGTGAAAGGTTAATAATAATATATATTTAATAATAATAATAGTATATTCCCATTTTTTTTACATGAGGGACGCCAGTTTACAGGCATCATCAATTCGATAAATTACACATACGATTATTAAGTATAGTCAGTAATGATAATATAATATAAAGCATCCTATCTATGTTTGTTTATTTATGTTTATTTGGCGGGGACTCTGTTGCTTAGTCGTACGCTGGCTAGCAGAGAACTGGAGAAATACGACCAGATGTATTAAGGTAGATTTCTATTAACTTTCGTTTATAGATTTGCACGCAGTAACTTGTTACTCTATTTCTATATCGGTGGAAAAATAAACAATCATATTATCCCGCCATCTTCTGTTATTCCGAGTCAGTTACTGTGCGTAACATTCTGAGTGTTAAGCGTAGTCTTGTGGAAGCACCTACAGGCTCAGGATCATATTATAGATTCTATGTCTGGAATAGGAAGGTTTATATCTCACGTTGGGAAAATCCGGCCCAAGAATGACATGGTGAAAGAAACGACAATAAGCTTGTACAGCACAGAGTAGACCTCGTGAGATGAGGAAAAGATGGAGATATTCTAACCCAACCTTGTGTGGTCACGAAAATGAGGTGGTTTCCAACCATGAAAGGCTCATTGGCTGACTTTTATACAACTTTTCTGCCACAGAAGCCGGCTGTCTAGTAATAATAATCAGGAAAAGACACCGCGCTCAGGGTTATGCAAAATGATCCTGAGCAACCGATCTAAATTGTCGAGTGAAAAACTAACCTGTTTATTACGGGAGTTCATTTGCAAAAAGAACGATAAAATGGCTCCCAGAAAATATGGCATCTGATATGCTGCAAGACTACTATGGAATCCCGTTTTAACCCAATCCTGACAATGAGCAATCTGTAGTATTCATTTGAATGTTGGTTAATAAGCCCATTACCCTGGGGGGTCACTTATGGTTATTAACGATGAAAACGCATACTACTGCATAATATCCAGTCCTCTAATATAGATTTTGACTATTTGCGAAATGCCGTAACATGCTGGCAACCCGTGACTTACGTTTTAAAGGATGTTCAAGTACACAACAATTTCACCATATCTACTGCTCCTGGGAAAATAGGACTGCGGTGTGCACATTTAAGTCCCCTGTAATTGAAGTTTCCGAAGACAATACACTGGCTCGGCTCAGTTTATGGAAAGCGGGCGAAAAAGGGTTGTCTTCTCTCCTTTCTTGTCAAGGAAATCAATAATAGGTCCGTAGGCCTATGCTGAGGCTGTGTGGAGTCATTTTAAGCGGTCATAATGTCAGCTATCCTGACACTACATCCTGAGATGTCTACTTCAGTTACTAAGACGTATTTCTACGCGGAAAAGCCGATGGGCTTGTAGTTTGCTGAGGCTAGAATGCATCTGCATTTCTTAAAATAATAAGATAAAAATAAATCCCCCTTAAAGCATCTCGTTAGTGACGAATGAAATTTAAAGTGAACTTGGTGATCAGCTGAAAACGGCATGCGTTTAGCACGTATGAGTGTAGTACATTTCTTGTTTTAAATAATCCAGATATTGGGCAATGAATAGGATCAGGTGGGCATCTCCCACGAGATCGGAAAGTGCAGTGACTGCCATCTGGTAACTATCTCCCACGCGACGAGTGTTGTCTATCGACTATAAGAACACTATGATTACGATGGTGGCTAAGTCATTAGTATTTAAAATACAGTCTTAATAGTATTGTAGGAGGCCTAATTACGTCTCCGGAAAGGAATGATTTTGAGAGCCACTGTGAATTGCCTGGGAAAAGATAAACTATCACCAGCCGTACTGCACGCATTTCGGACGAATCATCCCTGTATGAGTAACAGTTACACAGTCAACCGCAGATAGTTTAAGTACAAGGGTAGCAGGAAACTGGCTGACAGGGTCTACATATATTTTGGCAAAATATCTGACAGTGCCTGCTGTTAGATTGTTTTGGGGAAGTTTTCCGCCCACGCAGGTGGAGAAATTCTTCCTTACTAGGGGACAGAGTAAGGGTCAACTCCAAACAGTATCGAAGAAGCTAACAGAAAAAACTATTTATACAAGGTTGGATGTGAACATTTCGAAGAAAACGCTGCTCAAGATGCACATCCATGGATAAAATTCAACTGTTTAGAACTGTGTTTCCGACGACATCTTACTTTGGGAATTAGGCTGTATTTTAGGCGACGAATACCAAGCACTACGATTTATTTAAAAGCTGGATTGCTGAAATACTCCTTGGGCATACTGGGTGTTTGAATTTCATTTGAATGCTAGTCAGCGCAAAGTCTTGGATTTTACTAATTTATGAGTAAAATGAAGAAAGCATCTCTGTTAAAAGCCACCTCGTACTCAAGACGGGTGCATCAATATGTTGCCAGCTAAATGCAGATTCCTCAAGTTATTCTGAAGGAAACTTGGAACTTAACTGAATATCTTCCGTTTTGAAGAGTTATTTTCATGGTTCACATTTTTAAAGCATACCCTACAGATTTACTCGTTTTTTAAAGAAACTTAGGCAATAACAATGTATAATGACCTATATTTATTAAACCTTACAACAAAGCGAAGACTCGTTCCCAAGTGATAGTAACAGGTTTTATAAAATAAATGAAAATAAAAACCATGATGACTAAATGATACAATTCTCTAAGGATTTTATTGAATGCTGTCATTTCACATATTTTGTTTTAGTGTATCAATTAGTAGAACTTACTACCTTTGTTATTGATGCTCCAATATTAAATTGTGAACTATCTTTCGTACTTTTATACGATGGTTCGTCTGACTGAGAGAATAGATACTTTCAGCTAAGAAGAGTGGTACCTGCTGAATATGAAGGGGAGTGGGTGTAATACAAGTGAGACCAGTGAGAAATGGGTTAGGAATAATGGATGTCAGCAAGTCTCAAGTATGGAGTCCAATGAAACCAATAACTTAAGATTTGAAGACATTAAGTACTTTGTTCTTCAAGGAAGAGGTATTTCGCAATAATATAAACACTTTGATTGTGTAGCTGGCAAAAAGTTTATCCTGAAAGGTATCACTGGAGAGTTTAAATCTGGTGAACTAAGTGCAATTATGGGACCCAGTGGGGCTGGAAAAAGTTCATTGATGAATATTTTAGCTGGTTGTTGTACAAGAAACGTTATTGGTGAAGTGTATGTTAGTTCGTCGCCAAGGAATCTACAACAGTTCCGAAAGATGTCATGTTATATAATGCAAGATGATTTATTGCTTCCTCATCTTTCAATAGATGAGGCAATGATGTGCAGTGCTAATCTAAAGTTAAGTGAAAAAACCAGTTATGCCGCTAAAAGGAAAATTGTGAGTTTTTTCGACAGTAATCTGAATCTTACTCGTTTATTTTATTAATTTGTAAATACATATTTATCAAGTCCCAGAAAGAATAGCATTTGATATTACTTATTGTTTGAAAAATTCCTTTTATATCAGCAGGTTAATAATGAATATATATAAGTTAAGTCTGAAGCTTTGACCACTCAAACCAGTAGGCTTGTCCAAAGTTTTAGAAAAGTTTACTACACATAAATCATTTAATTGTTACTTGCGGCAGCACCTTGATTTTCAAAAGCCACAATAGAATCGTCCACATTTAGAAGTTTGTTCACCTTGTCAAACCAGTATAACTGTTTACTGGAACCCATCTTTTCAGCATCTGTTGATTCATATATCCACTGTACGGAAAATTAAAAGGACTATAGTGGGCCTAAGGCCTAATCTTTTCAATAATATGTTGAACATCCTTGCTTTATCATTTGCAGTTTATTGCTCTGTGAACATGTCTTAGTTATAAAGTGAAATTTTTTTTGATAATTTTCAAAAATATTAAAGTAATACTGAAATATGCAGATAAATACCTAAAATCACGACTTTCAAAGTTCTTAAGCTATTTCTATCAAAAGAGTCTAGAACTTATTTGACAGTCTGGAGATTCGTTGACAGCCGTTTTTCTCAGTTTTCTCCGTTTAAGTCAACTTATCAATAGATTTTATGACAAGTGACTTTTCGTTTCTTATTTTGACTGGAGACTTATCAGATAAGAATTCATTCAGAATATTTTTCTGGCTTTAAGTGATCATAAACAGTTGGTCATATCTTGGAAGTTTTCCAGTTAGGAGTTTTGTGTGTCTCATTGGTCAAACCTAAATAATGTTTTCCTGAATTTATAATCAAAGAATTTTGTCATGTAAAACTCCTGGGAACATGTGGAAGCTTTTCAAAGAAATTACAGGTTGTGGTAAGCATAGTTCTTGTGCTCCCCCTATTGATGTAAATACTCTTAATAGATCTTTTCTCCGCCTTCCCAATGTACCTTTTAGCTTCAATGTAAAAAATAACATGGCCAGTGACTTTCATAGTTTTAAAACTTCTGATGTTCTTAAATGTTTAAAATCTCTTAAACCTTCCCAGAGTCTAGGTCCTGATGGTATACCTGCCATTGTCCTAAGGAAATGTGCTGATATTTTAAGCAACCCACTTACAAACATTTTTAATACTTCTTTTTCTAATAATGTTGTACCTTCTCTGTGGAAAGATATTAAAATCATCCCTGTACCCAAGTCAGGCTCTGGTAATAATGCTAAGTTTAGACCTATCGCTACTACCTCTCCTTTTCTGAAAATAATGGAGAAATTATTGTTACTAAAACTTGTTCCCTTCCTAAGCTTCTCAAACGATCCAAAGCAGTTTGCTTACAAACAGGGTAAAAGTACTTTGGACGCTGCTGCTGTGTTTCATCACAACATTGTATCCTCCTTAGACAAAGGGGCCAAGTTTGTCCGTTGTACGTTCCTTGACTATACATCTGCTTTCGGCTCTGTACCTAGAGGCCTATTGTTAAACAAGCTTAGCCTTACACAAACTGAACCCTGGGCTATCAACTGGCTATACTCTTACTTCTCTAATAGGATGCAGTATATGGTATATAATGGTGTATCTTCCTCTCCTTTGCTTACTGAAGCTGGAGTTCCTCAGGGTGCTGTTCTTTCTCCGTTTCTCTTTTCCTTCTTCTTACATGATTTACCTCTCTCAGATGAAATCAACTTCGTCAAATATGCAGACGACCTGTCTGTATCGTATTCCATTAAGTCTCAGTCAGACTGCTTCAAATTAAATAGCTTCCTGTCGGACATCAGTGAGTGGTCCAAACTAAATGGTCTCATGCTGAATCCCTCAAAATGCTAGACTATTGACTTCTCCCTTAGGCATAAACGAGATCTACAAACAGTAATGAGTACTCATGAAGCCTGTTGCATTGAGGGGACTAAAATTGAAACTAAGTCTAATGCAAAATACCTCGGTCTAGTTCTATCTTTCGACCTTACTTGGACATCTCATATCCTAACGATTTCTAAGACAGTGTTCTGTCTAACCTACTACATTAAGAAACTTAGACAATCTGGAATCACCCAACCTCTATTTTCACAATTTGTCAACTCTTGTATCTTACCTATTCTACTTTACTGCTCTCCGTTAGTCTTTCCTGGGCTACTGAAAAAGAACTATTCCATCCTGAGAAGGATGTTGAACGTAGTCAGTAGGACTAGCGGTGTAAAACTCAGTCAGCTTGTCACTACTTTAGTTGATAGGCATCTGAATACATGCGAAAAGTGGTCTAAAACCATACTCTCAGACCCCCAACACCCCCTCTATTCCCAACTCTCTCCTTGCATCTCATCAAGTAAAACTAGAAATCAGTATAAAGTAATCTATGCCCGTACTACCAAGTACAGGGACTCAACGATACCATACTTGGCCCGTGTTCTAAGTGACAGAGACAATGTTAAGCGTGAAACCTATGACTTGCTCTGTTATTAACAACATAATTTTAGGCTCTTTTATTTCTCTCTTATTTTGTATTCTTTAGTGAACTCCTTCTTCAAACATACTTAGCTACCTAAAATATTAACATTGGCTTCCTTTTTTGTACTTTACTATATTCCTTCTATTGTGTATCCACTGGTTCCGACTCTATTAGCACTATGAGTAGTACAAAATTGTCCTGTCATTAACCATCATGTAATTATTAGTCTTGTGGTTGTATTTTCTTATTTTCTATATTTTTCGGCAATATTAAACTGTCAATCATTGGTTGTGAACGCCATAGTCACCACCTTAAAAGATTTTGTATTATTCAGGATTACTCAAACTACCACCACAAACACTGCATTAGACCTGACTATAAAAAACAAAACAACATCCCTGAAATGTTATTTTATGATTGTTTAGAGTTGTTTCAATCAAATTAACTGACCATCTTGGGGATAAACATTCTTAAATATCATTTCATAACTCCTTGTATGACTAAAGCTTTACTGTCACCATGCATAATCATATCATAGCTCCCACTACCCAATACTGAGTTATTATTATATGATGTTTATTTTCCTTTCTCCTTCTTGGTACTTTTTCGCATTTATAATTATTTTGTGTTTATCCTGTTTTTTTGCTGTTGGTGACTTTAGATTTTTTTGTTTGTTTAATACTCCTTTTAAATGTTTGTAAAATTAGATGCAAATATTGTAGATATGTGCTGAAAATTCCACACTGTACCACTAGTACTGTTTCTGGAATAAAGCAAATTATTATTATTATATGCTCTATGCAGCTTTACTTAACAGGTGGATACCTTAAAACACGCTCACGAATATTTCTGATAAACAAAGTCGTTCCTAAATTTAAGATATAACGACAAAAGCATGTCTGCTCCAATGATTTTAGGAAACAACATTTGTATCTTAAAGCAAAAAACCTGCATATAGATAATAAAAGCTTCTTGGAAATAACGTTGTATACCGATTCGTTGCCATCGGATTAAATGGAATTTGCAGTTTCGTGACATTGTGGGCAGAATATGTGTATGAGATTACGGGTTTTTTAGTTATTTGGGTGCAGGATCTTAATATCCTTCATGTGGTCAGATGCACTACTAGCCGAAAAAGGAATTAAAATTTGCTCAGGAATTTGCTCCTGGTACGTTCCAGTATATGTGCTGAACAGTCAGATGGCGACTACAGCAAATATATTACGATGAATGAATATTCAGTAGTCGAAGTGTTTTTCATTATGACTTGGCAGTACACCATTCTTTAAAGTGCGTTGACTTTTGAAAAGTTGACACCTTATGAATATAACATGAAATATTCATATCTTTTTAGATTTGGTGTTGACCAGTTGATAAAGGTAAAGTGGATAAAACTAAGTAACGTAGGAAAGGGGCTGTTGTTGGCAGCAACTTGGATGGATCTCTCTGAGACAGTCAATACAAATAAGCAGAAACATACTTCTATGCATTTCCCTGAAACACCCCGTGACAAGTTATGAAAAGGTATGTGAAGTGTATTCCTGGGAAAAATGTACAGAATACTGAATTGCAGTCCGGTTAATTAAATTTACAGGTTGTGAACACATCTAAGCAGTGAGAAAATTATGATGTTATGGAGGTACTCTGGAAATACTGTGACACAATGTACTTGAAGTACATTAGAAAAAATATCGTAAAATATAAGGGACCAAAAAGTAATGAGATATGTCCATACAGTGTTCAATGAAACGTGGTGATTCCAAAACCAATTCATCGTATCACACACTAGCGTCTAATGAGTTAAAGGACTGCTAAGATACAGAAAATTACTTGTACATTCTTTTTTCAGCTTTCCATTAAACTCTATTATCTAACCCTATCGAAAGTCTCGAAAGTCAACTTGATATTACATGCAACTTATTCTTTAACAAATATTTTTATTAGGTTGATAACATCATAAATCTGCTTGGACTGAGAGAAGCTGTGCACACGAGAACTTCTCAACTTTCTGGTGGTCAAAAGAAGCGCCTAGCAATTGCTCAAGAGTTAGTTAACAATCCTCCAATAATGTTTTTCGATGAACCAACAAGGTAAGGTTCTTACTGATAACTATACTGGACTTTATTTTGAACTTCAACAAATTTATTGCTTATATATCATTATTGTAAAAAGTTATTTAAGGTAAACCGTGATTGTTTCTGGCCTGAAATAATTTTTAACTTTCTAAATAATTTCAGTCTTACACTGAAGTATCAGCTCTTTCGCCTGCTAGAAAGAATAATCAGTAATACCATCAACTCATTGCCTATTTTAATTTCTAAACTTAAACTTATTTTCTCAATATGATAATGGTTAGGATGAATTAATTATTTATGCCAAAAGTCGGTATATATTTATAGTCCTATAGAATCGAAGCATATATTTTTTAATTCCCAGGAGGTGATAAGAATCAAATAACCAAATTAGTTATCCAACTCCGATCAGGAATAATCATCAAAATTTATTCTGAACACAATTTAATATTTGTTAGAAATTAAAGTGATTAAGAAGATAAGCAGAAAGATTTTAAAAAATATGACATCGATTAATCTGAATAGTCTTAATCAACGGACAATTAAGTCTACCCACCAGATGGCTTTAGTCTCAGAAAGCATCCAGTTACCTTTTATTTGTTGACAGACTACCTTAGTGTTGTCATTTTGTGAAAATTATTGTGACTCATATTCACTCTGAGAACTATTAAAGCAAACTTATTAATTATGAGGTCGAGTGATTTTAGACTTGTTACCTCGTTATGTATCTATGCTCATGTCTGACAGGCGTCTAACAGAACAAAGAAGATTGTTATAAAGTATAATGCTTCTTTTTTGCATATATGGCTTATGCAGTATGCTAGGTTGGCTTTAAAACTAAAGTTGAAGCTCTCTACATTTGTAACGAAAGATAATAACAGGTAGCATTTGTTCTGCAGTCATTTGAAAACTGTTTGTAGTTAAATGCCGTTTGTGGTCAGTTAGTTTCAGTTATGTCACTTACACGGTGTACACAAACAATGCCATCGAAATATCTGTTTGAACAATAGTCCCATATTCTACATTTCTAGTTAGAATGCTTTCTATTGATGACTTCCATGAGATAAATTCATAGTTGACCAATGGCTTAGGTGGTTTATTACAAAAACTATTCAGATTTTCAACGGAGTTATCCCCAGCCTTCTGAATCTCTTTTACCAGATATTTGTTTATATTTTAAATCACCATTAGTTTTGAAAATAATGCTAAATTAGTAATTTGGGGGGAAATGAAGCCGGACGTTTTCTGATCCTGATGATAAATGCTACACATCTGCGTCCGGTTCAGATTAGAATTCAATGGTTCTATAGATGACTTTGGTCCTAGTTGAAATCCAACTTGAAAATAATCGAATTCTTACAACCAAACAATTGAAAAGTTATATACTTCATGAACCAGTATCATGTTTTAGTCTGACTACCTCAGTATATGTAAGAAATACTTCCCCATCACCGTCGAAAGTGAAGACTAACTACCCATTGCCAAATGTTTACTTTTTATGCAACATTTGATGCCTAATCTTATTATCTTAATGATAATAATCTTAATATAGATGCAAGGTGATATTTCAATTATTTAAATGTTTCATATTTACTCATAGTTTCATTTATTTTATTTTTTATAAAACGAATACTGAAAATGTATGCTGGAACCTCCATGCGACCGTGAAATCTTTCTGACTGACTGATATATAAATAAATAAAAATCTGTCCATCTTTTAGTGGATTAGATAGTGCTTCATGCTATCATTGTATTTCTTTACTACGACGACTGGCACGTGGTGGTAGAACAATAATCTGTACAATACATCAACCAAGTGCAAAAATATTTGAATTATTTGATCATGTAAGTCTATTTGTTTATTTCTTTAAATCATTGGATCACTGTAATGGAAGCCAAAATGCTCTGAAACATAAATGAAATTTCATTCCTTTGTGTTTCGAGTGAGACATAGAGTTTTAAGCTTGAATTTTGAAGTTTCAGTAGCAATGGTGCCATTTTACAGGGCAGGATTGCTAGCCTCACTCCAAGTCTTCTACATATACAAGGTTTGCTATCGGCTAAAGGAGGATTAGGAGTGTATCGGCTAGAAATCTAACCCGGATGGTGTACATTATTAATGAGTATTGTACCATTCAACTATCGACACACTAAAAATAGTTAGTAGTTTATATAGATAATTAACGAATTCTGCCGCAGTGACTAAATATTCAGATGACTCAGCTCATAATATGAACGTCTTGAGGTCGATTTTCGGTGGATTCATGGGTGTGTATTGATGAAGATTCCCAAACTAGGATGACACAGTTTTTCAACACTCTCTTGCTTTCAACAGTTCTCCAACCAGTGTCCTTTTACCATTGAACGTGTAATCGATTATATCCGTCTAAACAAACATTTGAAAATCACGAATATATATATGCTTTCCAAATATTCAGTTTGAGGCAAATGAGTGCTCCTTCTGTCTTCCTCAAAGCACTCAACCATTTATTATTGCTTGTTTTGTTTTCACCTAGATTCTTTATATTCTTTTTTTTCGGTTAATTAATTCGAAAGGACAATTTTTTTGTGTTAGGTTTGAGTGAATTCGAGCGTTTGCTTATATATACATACGCTCATTCTGGATTTCTTTGATCCTACATTTCTTGCTTTGAAGTTTACTGAGGAAAGGTTGGGCTAGAAAAAACTACTGAATAGTCTGAAAAGGAACTGTACTACAGGATGAATAAATCATTTGTCGGTCTTTATAACTGAGGCTGTTTTTCACTCACTACTGAACTGCTGATTAGTTTCAGTTAAAGCCTTAAAGCTGATATTACAGAAATATCCAAGTAATACTTTACTTCTAATAGTTTATTACACATAAATTTACTGAGTCCATATTGATTTGGGAGATAATTAACTAGTAATTTTATCAGTACTAAATTTACTTGCCAATATACTTATATACTATATTATTGATAAATACATCAATAGCATTTCACTCCGTTATATATAGCTTGAAAAAACTAACTAAAAGTCGTCATCATATGTCTGGTTTAGGGGAAAAATTTTCTGTAGTGATTGACATACACTAATTCATGCTTCTTAATTTTCCCTTAACGTAGCTTAAACGTATAGACTAAGTGATATAATACCATTCTGCATGGAGGATTTCATTATAAGCTGAGATCATTTACAGAACCACTGGGAAAGCTGCAAGGAGTACTGGACAGCTGTTTCGTCCTAGTTTGGGACTCCTCATCAGTACTCACCCACCGGGGTTCGAACCCAGCACCTTGAGCCACCGGGACCCGATCCAGTGGTCCTTGAATTCTAACTTCTGCCAATTCATGACATAGCGCGACCATTTCGCAATGTCTTCTTCGATGAGTTACTGGCACATCTTCAACCTGTTGTATCCTACTGGTCACGGCTCCCCACTAGAACCCCAGATTGACTGCCTGAATAGGGCCAGTCGCTAGTGAGCATCAGATTAATTTTCAAGTATTGATTTTGCAGGGATTTTGTTTGACTGCATGGAGGATTTCATTCTGGATTCGAACCCCGGGGGTGCGTACCACCGAAGAGCCCCAAAGTAGGACGAAACAGCTGTCCAGTACTCCCTGCAGGTTTTTCAGTGGTTCTCTAACTGATGTCAGCTCATGATGAAATCCTCCATGCAGCCAAACAAAATCCCTACAAAACCAATACTTGAAAATAATACCATTCTCACTGTCTTGAAAACATAACACAGAATACTTCGTGCTGAATATTTGAAATACCAGGAAAAGATGCATTGACCATAAGTCTTCTTTTTGATTTTAACGTGTAAACAACGCGGAAATGCTTACGCACAGTTAAAATTCGCAAAATGCATACTGTATGACAACCAAATGGTTAAATTTTAGTACTAAAGTGTATTGATAAACGTGGCGGACACGATTTTCGGAAGGGACTCTGTTAACCAGTTGATATCTGACACACATATCAATCATGATCTTCCGTTTGCATAACTATATAAATTTCCCTTAAGAAGAATCGTGTATTTCAGAATTTCATTTGGGACTAGCATGCATCTACATTCACATATGACGTAGAGAATAAAATTTATTGTAAATTTGTACTGTAATGACTGAAATGTTTAGTCATGCTTTTAAAGCCAGGTTAAATTTCTTCATTGGGTCAAATTTGGAATCTTTATGAAGCCATTTCGATTGAAAGAAAGACAATGAAAGCTTTGTAAATCAACTGGCCATCTCAGAGAACATAACTTCACGAATATCATTTACCTGAGCTCTAAATCTTCTCCCACAGTTATGACTGTTTGAAAAGTTCACCTGATTGTTAAAACAGAGATAACACCTAATTCTGTTATATGAAGCTTGCTTTAATTATCCCTTTCATCAGTAAAACAGAGTGAGTTTCATAAGCAGAACACATATAATCAAGATAAGATGAATCATTTGTCTCTAAAATGTTTCTCAGACACGTATGAGCTATCGCAGTTCTACAGCTAAAAGTCTGAAAGAGATGCAACGCGGAATAGTCGAAAGAAATATAGGTCACAGAATACTTGCCATCATCTTAAATGAAGCAGTGTACTTAAAAATTTGTAAAGCAAGAACAACAAACATTGCGGGATGAAGTAAATTCAACTTCATTACGTGTACTCTAAATCTTTGAAATATTTGCATTTGACAATGGCATTTTTTTTAAAACTATAAAACTGTATACAAATGTTCAATTTAATGTGTATATGGAAGATTTAAAGCATACACAAATGTAATGAATTGAATTCATTCTACAATATTTGTTGTTCTTACTGTACAAAATGTTTTGAAGAGAATTAATTGTAAGAGGCACTTTTTGTCACACTGGAAGTTAATACAATGCAATCACAAAGGCAGTTATAAATAGGTGAGAACAACAACAAGCATCAATCATCATTTATCTAAAGAAGCCGCTTCTTTCAAGTACAAGCGGCACAGGTGGGGGTGTTAAAGGCAGGATCAGAAAGGTGAGACAGATCTTGATTGCTTTGAAGTGGGCGTGGAAATATACAACACACAGTATTGTAGGACGAGATCTGGATTTTTAACAGTAGAGTCAAGTCGGTTGTTCTATATTGTTCAGAGACTTGGCAAGTCAAGGAAAGCGTTTCGTATAGGCTATTTCGGACTTTAGTCGACGGCTGCCTTCGTTAGCTCAATACTGACGATCAAATGGACGGCTAGAAAGGATAAGTAACAAGGCGGCGAGCCAACCAAGAACCTGTTGCTCAACGAATACATAGAAGGAAACAGAAATTGACTGGAAATACACTCAGGAAATCTTCGAGTGTAATCGTGCGCCAATAATTTAAGTGGAATCCAAACGGAAAAGGACATCTTGTTTATCTAAAGCTGATATGGAGGAGATAGTGTGAGTAGGAGATGAGAGTTTGTGGGTAACCATTGAGCTAGGTAAAGACGACTACAGGAAACACGATGAAATGAAGATATACTGTCGAATCTCTATATTCCACTCAGAACCTGGAGGAATAATAATAATAAGCCAAAAGAAGTCACATGAAGTTTCAAACCACTTCGGGAGTAAAAACTGCTATTACCATTTGGTCGGTAAAGTTAGTCTTTTCTGTTAGTACTGAGTACTGCCATTCACAGTGACTTCGTGAACCATTAACATTTCTCGCTGAACAGCTTCACTGGTTTCTGAGATGCTTCTAGACTAACTGGGAAGAAAATATCAAAATTATTTGGAAACAGTTTTCCTTTGAATGCCATGTAAGACGGTTGTATTATCATTTAGAGAACCAATAAAACCCACAGATTCCTAGACAGACGTGACGTCGCGGTTTGAAGCTCTTCATCATTACGTACCCATGACCCTATCGGTGGTCGCAAGCAGGATATTAGGCTTACGAGGCGATCGTCTTGACGCAACACAATTGCATATGAATTCTAACTTCTGCCGATTCCTGGTATGTAACGATATCTCCATCTAATGTTACCGGCGAATGTTTGTTCTCACACCTACCTTGACAAATCCCAGCAGGCATATCTTCTCACTGGAACTATAGACACTAGTGAGTATTTGAATAATTCTTAAATTTTCGAAATTTCGTATCTGTTAACTACTGAACTTATGTTTTACAACTGTTTACCCATACACACATACACATACACCACTGTATACTCCACATACACATATATTTTCACATTCAGTTTTCTACGACCATGAACTTTTAGTCGAACGTAATTACTGAAACGCTGATGAAAAGTACACTCTGTTTAAAGTGTATAACAAAAGTAGACTTATATTTGGAAGTCTAAGGTCAAATTTTGATCGCAGCTCATACAATTTTGTTTATGGTCTAACTGATATCAGTCCGTGATCAACTCGTAAAACATAACTAATCCTTACAAACCAAACTATAGAATATTATACATATGTTAGTGCCTGTTTCATGACTCATATGATTGGACAAAGTTTTTAAAAACAAGAGATGTCCATTTTTATAAATAAGACTGTGTTATGTTAATTTCGATTAATTTGCCTGAAGAAGTTCTGGTTATTGTATGAAAATATTTTAGTATTTTATAACCAGATTTTGTAACTAGATGAGATACAAACAATCCATTAGGAGAAATATTATCTTCCATTGTAAATAATAACGCCAAAATTATCTTTTTTTTCAACAAATACAACATCTATGCATCGCCTAGAGAACGGTGAACTTCATGAGACAGAAACTTATTCTCAAGTGTTGGATTTGTAGGGGTTTTGTTTGATTGCATGGACGATTTCATCATGAGCTGACATCAGTTAGAGAACCCCTACAAAACCTGTGAGTACCGAACATCTGTTTCGTCCTCGTTTGGGACTCTTCATCAGTACGCACCCACCGGTATTCGAACCCGGGACCTTCTGGTTACAAGGCGAGCTCGTAGACCACTGAGCCACTGAGACCCGATCCAAAGGTCCTTGAATTCAAACTTCTACTGAAGAGTCCCAAACTAGGACGAAACCAATGTCCAGTACTCCCACATGGTTTTCCAGTGGTACTCTAACTGATGTCAGCTCATGATGAAATCCTCCATGCAAAGAAACTTATTCGTTTACTGAAGAAAACAAGCAAAACAACAGCATGGTGCTGTGTACTACTGATTGATTGATATAAGTAGTTAGAAAGCTTTCACGTCAAACAATGCTTGAATCACATCCACCTCTCTGAACTGTGCTAGGTCGGGTACATCGCTAATGGGAAATGGCCGTTCAGTGTTAAAATCTTCTCCACCTGGCACTAGTGGTTGATGAGGCCAGTCTCAAACTACTTATAGCAAACAATCAGTAGTATATAGTATCAGGTTATGAAGCTTGATTTATTGATTACCATTTTTATGATATGAAACAGACGACACATTGTGGTCTCACTGCTTCTGGTTTTAAGAGGGAACTGTAATATATTTCTCCCTAAAATTTGATTTAAAGCCAAAACAAGCTATATGGTAATTGCTCCATTATTTTTTGCATTCAAATTTGAGTTCATGGGCTAAAAACAAAGAAGAAATTGATATCTAAACCTAAAATATTTTTGTACTAGGATAAGAAAAAGTAGAGATATCTATATAAATCGATACGTTAACAAATCGACTGTTATCTGGGTCAACTTCTAGTGTTAATAAAGAAAGAAAAAAATATAACTGATCAAAAGTTTTTCATCCTTATTTTGGATAGACAAGTCAATGATGCGTTAACTTACTAGGTATAGTAAGTGTAGTATGGTATACATTTAAGGTTTTTGTAACCCTTCAATTAACTGGAAAATATGTAATAAACATAACAGCAATGATAATATGAACACTAATCTATTGGGTAGGTAGGTGTGTAGATGAAGCGTTAAAATGCATAAAAAGAAGCAAAAGGACAAATAAGAAGCATAAAGGCAAAAAAAAAGAATTCATTTTCGATTATTACTGTTTTATCTTCTCATTTACTGCTATTCTCTGAATACTATTCACCTATTTATTTTTTTTATCTCGTCACCATAATTTCCGCATTTTCATCAAAGAGTGAAAAGGTTATTTTAAGCTTTTATCCTGGTCAAACATTTTGTTCATTTTGATTAGAAAAAACAGTTAAATGCAAAAAGGGATAACTGGGTAGTTGAAGGATTCTGCAAAACGACAGATACTGCTAGAAATTCTTTGACACGTCTTCCAGCTCCAAAAATGACAATCTACACGAAATTGCAGTAAGCAGGATAAGGATGATATGGCCAGAATGTTAAGGGTATTCGGCACAATCATTCCTAAATTAAAACAAATTGGTTAGTGCAAGTTTAGAACTTGAACACTGTGGTAGAATGTAATTCCATATTAGATAAGTTTATTTTAATAACCATACGGCGATGCAATATTAACAACTGGATGATGTTTCGAGTATAAATTATTGTTCATAATTATATCAATTTATTTACACGTTTTCACATTTTGTCTTATATATATTTTCTCTGTTTCTGGCTTTCCAACTTCCCTTTGTCGTTTGTTACCACTTTGTATATCTCCGATTTAGGCGTTGCGTCATTCCGTTTGCACATGTGCGGTGTTGAATCGATAAAGAAAGCTTCAGTGATTAACTTCTCTCCCCACCTAGATATATTACTCTTTAATACTCTAACCCTGTCCCACCAACCCTTTTATATAATTACATGCAAGTGAATGCAGTGCAATGACTAAGCTTTTTTCTACGTTATTTAACTTAGCAGGGTCAATTATTCTAGGTAAAGCTGAATTTTTAGGTTCCAATAGTCCAGTTGACCCCAATCTACTAATTTGACCTATGTAATTGACCTCACAGTCAGCATTACATAGTATTTGATAAATTATATCATTTCTCCTAATTGGTATTTGGTCCCATTGAAAGTCCATTAATGTTATTCCTATTACTGATCCCTTGGGTTCTCAGTGAAATGTAGCGCCTCAACAAAACATCTCCATCCCGTCCTGCTTCCTAAAGTCCTATTCACCTGACCCCACGACCACCAAGAAGCTCTCATCTCCTCTTCACACGACCTCCTCCATGTCATCCTTGGACACACAACTCGTCGTTTCCCATTCAAGTCCCGCTCGAACGGTGGCCTAGCGTAGGCGATATCATTCGATGGTCTACTCCATTTTCTCCGGCATATTTGTTCAACAACAGATTCTTGTCAACTTTGTTCCTAGAGTGTCTTGTTGCTAATCCTTTCCAGCGGGGCATTTGATCTTCAGTATGGAGTCAGAGAAGGCGACTGTTGAGGAAGGTCTGCAGTGGATGGTTGGGAATGCTTCTCGTGATGCCCTCACCAAGTTTCTCATCCATATAGAAGAAGTGACTGACTTAACATTGGTGTTGAAACTGCCTATAGATACCCCCTAATCGCGTCTATATTTTCGCGTAAATATTCTGAGTTGATTACAGTGAAGGGAGTGAAGTCAGGATATAATGTAAGTATCAGAATGTGTATCGAAAAAGCTTGCATCTTAGGGAATCAGATTCGTTTAGCAGTTTTATTATCCTGTATTTTATGGGTGTAGAACTTCAAGAAAATATTTGGCTAATCAACATAAACACTCTACTTTGATCCAATGGGTTCCGGGTTAGAATCCTGTCTTGGCTACTTCAGCCTAGGCGTCGAAACAACATCATTTGTAATTGTGGCCAGCGGTTGGGTATCTTAGTACTAAGTAACTAAACTAACTAAGATTAAAGAAATATCACAAAGATTTTCGGGGTAGTAAACACACAAAGCAATTTGATTCTTCTAAAGCTTCTTGAAGCTACAGCTGTCAAAAATATGATGTATTTATTTGCGAAATGACACTTGGGATGATTTATGGACTGATATGGAAAGCTATGACAACAGAATTGAAACAATTAAAGCAAGCAAAAACTATAGAAACGCAGAAATATTTAAGAATACATAAGTTTGGGAACTTAAGAATGTTCGGTTGATAGAATAGGGAGAGTCTAGGTGAAAACAAGTGTATCATATATATTGTGCATGCTAAATTTTTCGGATGAAGGAGATACCTTCACAAAAAAATCAAGATTTAAACTAATGTTATACAACACTTATTAGTAAGCATACCATTTTGGATTAATCCACAAACAAAAGATGCATTCACATGAATATTCAACATCCGTTTGATCTGAATATCAAGATATAAATTCAACTGAAAAACGTATGAGAAATAGTCAGTTATATATGAACTTATTATCCATAAAGTTTATTAGATCGCTGATAAAACATTTCCTATAGCATTTTAAGGATATGGGGAATACCGAATACTAACTAATAGGTCTCTATTTGTTAAGCTTACACTTTATTATGATAGGAGGAATTTCATGACTGGCTAAATCCTTTTATTAAGTCAAACTAATGTCAAAGTGTTATCTGAGTTCGCTTTCTTCAGGCTGTTTATTGATGTTTACTCCTTTTATGCTCCATTTGTGCAAATATGAATAAGACCGAATAGGTTGTCTACACAGGATGTGATGAATGCTGCACGGTAGAGAAGTGAAATGTTCCATATTGTACGATACACAGTTGTTCTATAGTGACTCCGAAGAATTTCTCTTCCATTCATTTATCTTCACAGAAAGAAATTAATCATCAGTTTTGTATATTTTAAGTGTCATTCCATTTTGTTCACTCTCGGTCTTACCCATTAGATAAAAGTAGAGTGTTTATGTTGATTAGCCAAATATTTTCTTGAAGTTCTACACCCATAAAATACAGGATAATAAAACTGCTAAACGAATCTGATTCCCTAAGATGCAAGCTTTTTCGATACACATTCTGATACTTACATTATATCCTGACTTCACTCCCTTCACTGTAATCAACTCAGAATATTTACGCGAAAATATTGACGCAATTAGGGGGTGTCTGTAGACATTTCAACATCAGTGTCAAGTCAGTCACTTCTCCCATATCGATGAGAAATTCGGCGAAGGCATCATGAAAAGCATTCCCAACAACCCACCGCAGACTTTCATCAACAGTCGCCTTCGCTTACTCCGTATTGAAAATCAAGTGCCCAGTTGGTGAGGACTAGCAAACGGAACTCTGGAAACGGGGCAAAGACGAATCTGATGTTCAGCAAATATGCTGGAGAAAATGGAGTTGGATCGAACACACGCTGAGGAGACTGTCGAATGATATCGCACACGCGAGGTCAACGTTCGAGCGGGACTTGAATGGGAAATGACAAGTTGGATGTCCAAGGGTGACACAGAGGAGGTCGTGTGAATAGGCAATGAAAGCTTCTGGGTTATCGTAGAGCCAGGTGAATATGACTTTGGGGATCAGGACTAGATGGAGATGTTTTGTTGAGGCCTTACATTTCACTGGGAAAGCAGTTGGACAATAGTCCCTGATAATTTACTTATTTTGTAACGTATCCATCTACAAAGTTCCTCTTCCTGAATAAGTTGAGTAGTTGAGACATGTTAAATTGTATACCAACAACTCAACACAACCTAGTCACTCGAACAGTAGTCATTTTTGCCTCATTCCCCTTGCAGTCATCAGTCGATGCATACTTTTAGCCTTATTACCAATCTGTCATCGATGTAGTCTTCCCTGTCGACTAATTTCTTGGTAAAAAGATTCAAGTCCATTTATATAGTAAAATGTATGGTTAAGTTTTATATTTATGTTATGCTTGTACGCATATAAAGCGAATATGTACGAAGCTTTATAATTTTCCTTCCAATCCATTCTTCCTCTTTTACAGTTATACTTCCTAACTGATGGACATTGTATTTATCGTGGACCAGTTTCATGCTTAGTTCCATACTTGGCTACACAAGATTTAATTTGTCCATCTTATCATAATCCTGCTGATTATTGTAAGTAGTTTTCCTTCATTTTCAACAAAAAAGAAGAATTATTCTATAGTTAATTACACTTTTTATCGACAGTACTAATTGTCAATTAAATCTTAATGGTAAATTAATCGATTATACATTTACTACTGTTCAGTGATTTTAGTAGTAAAGCTTACAGCTGTATGAAGAAGGAATGATTGACATTTGATGTGAATTTTAATTACTTATATGGTAGGCTTTTTATGTGAATAAAACTAATATATGAAATAAATTAAAAATGTTAAAATTTAAGTGCAGTTTATTTCACTTTCAACGTAGCTTTCCTAACGAAATCAAAGCGAACTAGACAGTGCTGCTTTTATCTTACTTTGTGATCTATTAGCATGAAACAGTTAACTCTTTCTGCACTTTCAAATTAGTACAAAGTAACTGTTCAGCACCCGTCAGCTTTCTGTTATTCAATAGTTGATGTCGTTTAAGGAAGAAAATCAATCAAATCTGAACTAATGCTATAGCATCCTAGGGACTATAACCATACAGTCCACACCCTCTACATGGCTCATACCAACTGTTGAAGAGTTTATAGATTGGAGCTACGCTTTTTACTGAGTACCGCTGACTGTTTCTCAGCCTAATCTTATTTCAATTAGCACTGATCGTTGAGGTAAATGACGGCGTGGCATGCATAACGCATACGCTAGACATATCGCGCATGTAATAAACATGACTCGTGTTAGCAAATGCCAACCAGCCTTTTTATTTTATATATGCTAAGATTACATCGGTTATCAGTCTATGAAAGCTGATACGGATTTCAAAATTAATGAAGCATTCGGCACATCTGAACACTTCTCGACTTATCCTCAAACTAGCGGTCGTTGTTATTTAGTTTGGCAACATTATCTTATGTTAAACAGGAGTTAATCACGTGCCAAACGTATTTTAATTTTTGCTCAAACTGTTCTGAAGACGCATTTGTCAGTGTCTTCGTCTAAAGGAATAATATCACCGGTATACTTAAAATCAAGATGACATCCATGGTAATAAGTCAGTCCATGAGATAACAAAGTTGTTCAAAGTCTAATACATTAGCGCATCTTTAATGAATTTCATTAAAAAACGGTGTAATCAAGTATCAGTGATGAACACCATCGGTCAGATATAGTCATCTTAGTAGTTGGTTTTGGTCCTAAGTTAGTGGAATAGTTGTATTAGGAGTATCTATTCAGTTTGATGATGAAAAACGCCCAGTGGTGGTTCAGGTAATTGCCTGTCCCGTTCTAGCACTGATTTAAAACATAGTGGAGGGACACTGTCACATCCAGTGACCACTGATATCACCTAATAATTGGTCACCCAGGTGTCTGTAATTGATGAAAAAGATCGGAGGAAGATTGCCACTGCTTCTGTAACTGCTGTGTGGACTTCTATCTTGCATAAGTTCATCCAAGTGTTTACATAGAGATAAATGGACATAAAAGGCAGTCATTTGCAAAGCTATAACAGGCCTATTCTCTTGGTGAGAAAGGTAGCTAGATACATATTCCAAAATAAAATCTATTTAGTAATAGAAACGGTAGTGAAGACTGTTAGCAACCTGAGGATGAAGATTAGTTGACATCCGTGGATTCCTACGGTTTCTTTGGAAGTGATAGACGAAAGGAGATTGATAAGCTCTTATATTTTACCAGTTCGTAGCATTGAATGATATGGATAAATATTATAGAAAAGCTTCTAAACTTAGTAATTATGTTTTCATGATTTGATTGGATGGAGGATTTCATCATGAGCTGACATCAATTGTTGTACATGTGACTTACATTGTACTCTCACACTGACAAATGATTTCACTGAGGTTAGAATTGAGTCATAACAGACGATAAGCGAACATTATAGGTTGGAATTCTGTGTACATTAGGTGTACATTAGCACTGTAGATTAGACGATCGTGTCACACATTATTTGTTGACTTGTTGGTTTACTGCTCACTTTTGGACATGCCATTTACACAGACAGACAAACAAACAAACAGATCAACCGTACTGCTTATTTACACAGTATGATTCCCTTGGGTTCCGAGGAGAACATCAGCAGCACATCACCATTCCACTCTGCTCTTTGCAGTGAGTTTTAGCTGGCTCCCATAAGCCATTCCTTTCTCATATGTTCACCTCCATTTCACCCTCGGCGGCTCAACTCTTCGTTTCCTATTTGGGTTTCACTCCAGGGCCTGGCTAGCGGTTTTGATCAATAGTTTCCTCAACAAATTTCTAATCCATCTCCACTTCCTTCATCATATTTGTTACGTGATAGGTTCATGTTTAGTTTGTTACCAAAGCTGCCTGTTTCTAATCCTTTCTGTCTGGTTATTTGATGCTAAGTATGGAGCGAAAGCAGCTGTTGACAAACATCTATAGTTCATTTATTAGTTTAGTTTAATAGTTTATTAGCCGGTCTTAAGTCTGGAGAAGAAGATAAGGTTGAGCGTAGGGCTGGGGACAACCCAGGAGAATTAATCCAACCACTACTGAAGCTTAAAAGCTTTTCATGAAGCGTAATCATTTCTCCATTAACAAAGCAAGTGCGTGTCTATAAACTTTACAGAAACTGGTATTATATTCTAAAGAGAATAAAACAAAAGAGGCAGAAGGGAAGATGCTGTGTTATAGTACATATTCCCAATTTACTTAGATGATTTAATTGGTTGATCAGTCAACATAGCTTTACTCATTTACACTTATTATTTATCTATTAATAGTTATGGAAGTGGCTTGTGGTGAACATGGTGAGCATAACATGCGATTAGCAATGACTGCACGTCGTGGAGCACTTGATGAAACAGTAAATTATTTAAAAGAGAAAAGAGCCTTCCTAAGTACTTCAGCAAGTAATACAACTGAACGTCCAATAGATAATGTCCAGTTGATTGTCACCTCCTCTTCACCCTCATCATCTTCCTCACTGTCAGCTTATCATTCACCAGTTAGAAAGAATGATGATAATTCAAGGAAAAACTCTAAACAACTTGCGAAAGATGTAAGTTAGTGTACAGAATATTTAAATTATATAATTTTTTTTTCATAAAACCTGTGTTTGTCAGTGATTTCATTCAAAAAGTGAACTGTGTGGGATTTTTCCCAGAAGTGTCACACTTTAAACACAATATATAAAAGAGGGCTATGGAAGTGATACTATAGTGAATGAAAATAATTAAGTGAGGATTGATGAAGAGGCTCAGAATGTTGAAGCAGATTATGAGTGAATAGGAGTGCAGAATTTTAGGGAGTTTCCTAAAAAGAAGCATCCTACGGTTGTTTATCAACATTTTGACGACTCTAAGCAGTCAATTTAAAGCTTAATATTCTTGGCTTGAAACACCGATTATCAACTTCAGAGGCGGCTGCTTTTCCACACCATTCGTGATGTTTACACGAACGTACTTACCTTGAGTACCACGTAGTATTGTGATGCATTCAACATTCAGTATCGTGATGTAATTTGTCTATTATACAGTAATGAAATCTCAGTTCTTTCAACAAAAATTGTATATGAAGTACATTTTCATGGACGTATCAGCAAATAATAAACTAGACTTCGTTGTGAAGTCACTTCTGAACATGTTTAGAAGAAAAATAAAAGCTTAGCAATCATGTCCTCTAGCTTAGAGAATACAACAACATGCCAAAAACATCTGCCTGCACTACAGATCAACTCCACTGGGTCACATTTTTCCCATACAATAAATCTACTGAAATCATATGTATGACCTGATTGTTGTCAGAGTAGAACAGTAGTATTGTTTTATCTATGATAATAATAATAAAGCTTTATTTCAGACAATATGGGAACATAAAGTACAGAAATTTTAAGCGTATTCAGTTCCAAGATGTTTCCTCTTCATACACGATTTACGTGTAAAGTAGTAATCTGATGGACATCATATGACGTTGCTTTGTTGCATATGAAGAGAGAACCAATTCTATACATTTTCTCTTCATTTCCTTCAAGAACTATACAGCATTTAGTTGAAAGCTAATTCGATTTTTGTGCAAATCGATCTAATGGTCATCTCGCACAACTGCACGATTAAAACAATAAGAGATGAAGAAGAATTTAGACGTTTTGATGGTTAGAAATTCTGGTAGCTCAGTGATTTAAGCAGGCCACTGATTCACTTTGTCGCATTTATTAACAATAAATTCATATAAAAGTCATACTATTGAAACTTACTTTGTTGGTATTAGATAGTTGGAGGCAATAGGCAGGAAGCCTTGCCTGACCTAGGTTTCGTGCTAGCTGGCACTCGCCTGTTAGCAAGGCTTATCTGCAACCTCGAAGGAACTCATGTCCCTTCTGAGATTCAAAGCCGCGTCACTCAGTGGTGCAGTCAGAGACGTTACCACTGAGCTATTCAGACTAGCGATTAACCTGCTGTGGGACTGTGTTGGATATTTTTGATTGGACACTAGTTTGTAGCCAGTGTAATTTGTTCTAGTCGTTTGTTTGGTGCAGACTGAATTCTATCACTCAAGTTTATAATGTGACCACCATGCTAGGTGGCTCACCATCATGGTGCACTGTGAATTGTTGGTATTAGATGGTTGGAGGCAGTTGGCAGGAAACTTACTTCCTCCTTGAACTGAGTAACGTATTCATCATGAGTTTAAAACCAGTAGTGAAGTTGTACTCACGTTTCTTACTGTTGACCATCAAAGCAATATGTAAACTTTGCATAAATTCAAATTCTCTCTTTAAGATACGTAAATTAAAAATGAATCAAAATAGTTTTAACCGTGAAATGTGTCGTGTCTTTGGTTATTTGAAAATTGCACAAATGAGTACAAAGTGAAAAGCTTATTAACACATAAATTTAGCCACTGCTTTGTTTAGTTGTTAACAATTATTCGTCTGTATTTAACACTATTCGTTCCAAGCGGTAAATATTTTCAATTTCAAGAAAACTGTTGCTTCTGATGCTACTTACGCATCGTAGAAAGCGAAAACTACTTTGATCACCAGTAGAGAATTCCAGTGTAATAAAGTGCAAAACAGAAATTTTATGGGTGTAATCTCTCAGCTTGTAGAAACTGATAGCTGTTATGTTGAATTATTGGGGAATAAATATATTTCGTTTTTCACTCTAATAAACAAAAACTTAGACTTCCTTCATCTTGGATGATTACATACCCATTTTTCTTGTATTACCCTCATGTTGTCCATGGATTCGTTAACTAGAAACATTTGGTGCCAGTGTCAAGGGCAATAAATTCAGCCTAACAGTCCATAAACACTGTAGATATATATACTTAATGATAAATGTTATCTATTCTGATATTGAATAAGAGTTTTCCAAAAATTTATGTTTAGCATGTCATTTTGCAGCTTAGTTAACATTACTAACCAATTAGATGACTTGATAGATGTCTTCATATCAGATTTCAATGTATACATATATAAGATATAAAATATATCTATATTATTTTTATATACGTTCTATAACTTGTAAAAACAGGAGACATCATTACACATGGAAATGTCTGTTTTCCTACCTCATGCTAATGGCCCTGTACATACTGTAAATCAAAGTTTTGTCAGTTCAGATTGTATAAAAGTAAGTTTTATTGAAGCAGAGTATATGTTCATTATTTATTGACTTGTGTATATCATAGAATTCTTTCATTTTGTTTATTTTCTATAGTTGGTTTTTAAGGATTAGTCTTTTTGTTTTTTACCAGTTGATCACGGCTTGATATCAGTTAGGAAACCAATGAAAACCAGGGAGTACTAGACAGCTGTTTCATCCTAGTTTGGGAATCATAGGCAGTACTCATCCACTGCGGTTAGAACCCAGGACCTTGCCACCCACCGATGACATTGGTTGGGGTCGCGCTAAATCGCGAATTAGTAGAAGTTAGAATTCATGGGCCATTTGAATCGGGTCCCAGTGGCTGAATGGTATACAAGCTTGCCCTGTAACCGCAAGGTCCTGAATTCGAACCATTGTGGTGAGTGCGCACAGCCGATGATTACTAAACTAGGATGAAACAGCTGTCTAGTAATCCCTGGTCTTCAGTCATTTTGTTTATTTTGATAATTTGAAACTGTAATGATCAAATCAGTGTTTTATCTTCTGATCGAATTACTACACTTACTGTTGAAGTCACAGTGAGTATCGGCATAAGTTAAGTAGGGCATTAAATTGGTGAATAGATAACTTATTGGAGAGTGTAATCTGAATGAAATTCAGTAATTTTGACGTTATCTCAAATAAGATTAGACAAACGTGCTCTCCTTTTGTTACCCATCCACTCAAAATTTGCTTTAAGACCTCTTTAGGGATATTTTTAAGTGATGGTTAGTAGTGAGACCACTAAAAACGGTTTTCTTAGAAGGCGGAATGCAACTCTTTAACTAAAGCTGTACAACAGTTCATCTACCATTACATGGTGTTAAGTTACACCAAAATGAAGGGAAACTAAAATCTAGAATAAGAAATGACACCAGTTAGAGAAATAGAAGAAAACTGGGAGTACTAGACACCTGTCTGGTCTTAGTTTTGGAACTCTTCAGCAAAACCCATCCATGACCTCACTGGAGATCAAACCAAAAAATGAATGTCTGAATGATTAGCGCGATTGCTCCGTAACCTGAAGGTCCTGGATTTGATTCGTGTTAACGTTACGGGTGGGTTTTGCTGAACAATCACAAACTAAGTCAAAACAACTGTTCAATACTTCTTAGTTTTCAGTCTTTCTTGTTTCGATTTATTCTTCTAGTTTACACCATCTTTGATGTCTTGTTTACAGATGTTAAAGAAAGCAATAGACAGTCACTACCTGGCACAAACATAATACTGAAGCTTACTATATCGCTTTCATTTAGTTGTTTTTGAACCATTTTAAATCTTAGTATGCTCGTCATAACTCCTTCAGAATCTGACAGTATTACATTTGGACCATTTTTCTTACAATCGCTTCATTGTACTGAGTATAACCGCCTGTTGTATAGACAATAAACTGAATTATATAAGCACCCAATGTACATACGCAAGCATAAATAGGACTGAATTTTCGACTAGTAATGACTGTTATTTAACATAGCTTATTCAAGTGTATAATGTTAAAGTGAAAGGGAAAGAGGGAAATTTATTCAAATCAATATCACCCATGAGAAAATTGAAATAAGTGAAAAAAAAGTCCTAATTAAACTGGATAGAAATGAGTAGTAGAAGAAAAAGAATTATGCATTTATTTTATCTAAAAATTTAACTAGAACCTCACTTCGACGTTTCTTTGTCAATCAATATTCATAATTTTCTGTACTATTCATATATATGTACATATATATATGTCCAGCCATCATTTTGTTTAAATACCTGTTGTTTTATACAGATGAGGGGAGTTGAAGAATACTCGATTTTATCAAAAAGATATACTCTTATTCAACTGATAAGTTTAATTTCAAGTATCCCCCTGAACTGACTTCAGTTAAAACTATTGAAAAGCAGGGAGTACTTGTCAGCTGCTTCGTTCTACTTTGTGACTTCTCAGAAGAATGCACTCATGACGCGATGAGACATAAAAAATCAGGACTTTCAGGCTACATGACCGCTAGGACGGAGCTTATTAACCCATGGATTCTAAATGCTGCTAGTTAGCGGCGTATAGTAGATTTTATGACTATTTATTGTTTTGCAAGTTCAATGGTATCTTTAAATAAATTTGAAATAAGTGAAACAGTGTCCACATATAAAGACTTTCTGATAAACTCCATTTGTGCAACTACTTTGATTTTAAATTGTATGTAATTCAGTCAGTAAAATGATATAAAATGATGGAAACTGATTATATCAACAAGTATTGTTGAATGGCCATATAGAAGTTATCAAGAACCTCGCGGGACACTACCTAATCCATTCGGAGCTGAAATCTCTGGTCGCGTGCACTCTAAGCGACTCGGTTGAATTATTATTCTTTCCTTTAATACCTAGAGGAGGATAGGACTTCAGCCGCACGTCTCTATTGTGTTCGGTTCTCTGCCAACGTTTTCACCTTGGCTCCAAGTCTGCCCACATGCTTTCATCTCCTCTTTACATGACCTTTTCCATGTCACCTTCGCACTGACGACCAACTCACCGCTTCCCATTCGGGTTCCACTCGAGCGATGGCTTGACGTGTGATGTCACTTGATGGTTTGTTTTCTAAGAGTATGGCCAATCCACCTCCATTTCTTCTTGCATATTTGTTGCAAAATCCGTTCCTGGTTGGTTCGCTAATTTAATTCTTCTGTATGAAATTAGTACATTCTGAATACTACCACTTGTCATTTTCAAAATAAACATTTCGAGGGGAAAATTCACCACAGTTTTCTTTCAGAAAATTCAAATATATTAGACCACTGTATGTAGCCTGTATGATGCATCAAGATACCAAGAGAACTAGCAATAACTTAAAATGATCCAGTTATCTGAACAGAGTCACTAGTGGCACACTGTTGGAGAACCCGACCATAGACCAAAGACAGGACAGCCAAACATTTTAGACATTTTAATCGAACTAGTAAGTAATACTTCTTTGCTTAATTAATTTCAGTCTGCTCTTATCAATTGGTAGCACATAACATTTTTCTACTTGAATTGCTTTCTTAATCGTAATCCAAGATATCTGACAAGTTATTCAGTGTAATCTAAATATTTTAGTTTTACAAATCAGACTGGGATTTACATCTCAAAGTATTTGACTTAATAATTACAAAGTGTACTTGGTTGACTATTATTCTAATTTTCTCTATCATTTCAAACTTTTCATATAATGAACCAAAAGAATATGACAAAACGATAGCCTTGTAACCAGAAGGTCCTGGGTTCGAATCCCGGCAGGTACGTACCGATGAAGAGTGCCAAATTAGGACGAAACAGCTGTCCAGGACTCCCAGGTTTTCCACTGGTTCTCTAACTAATGTCAGCTCATGATGAAGTACTGTAACCAACACTTGATAGCTAAAAGTTTACGATTAATGCTGTCATTGTAAACAATTCACTTTACTACATAATATAAGACTGTTGTTCATTTATCATCAGTATTATCACAAAATAATTCCTGGATACTGCTTAAGAAAACAATGTCCTCAGTTGTATGCATATCATCTCTATAGTGGTACTGAAAATAGCATCGTCGATGGTGCCATCTATCTATAGGCATAAACTGGTGATGTTAAACTATAGCAGCTACCACAAAATACCCTCTAGATGATCTTGAACAATCGAATGTAGTAAAGCTTCATTGAGAATACTGAAATTTGTCAATAAACTGTATTCCCACATATGTAGACAGCTTTATTCCTTCGTAGGTATTGTAACAGAGTTTCTGAGTCAACACCTAGAACAGAAGCTATTTAATCAGATGAAGGACGAACTATGAAGGCAAGGCATTTACAGTAAATGATGCAACAGCTTGCTTCGAGGTCATTTAGAAGATTCTCTGGTCGGGCTTTTGATGGTGGCTGACTCAGTTTAACTATTCCCACAAATTGTAAAAATTATCTTTTTTTATAGACATGAATTACTCTTGATGCAGATATATCCAGCTGAAAAGTCTTGAATAAAAGGCAACACGATTCATAAATTCCCCTCCTAACTACTACTAACCACGTTGAACTTAAATACAATTCACTGTCATAATGAGTTAGCGTATTAACTGGAAGAAACTAGGAGAAAACAGCTACTATAATATATATACAATCTACACTGACAAGAAATACAGAATATGTCATGTTAAAATGTCATTAATTTAAAATTGTCTAAACTAGAAAATGAAAATTAGAGAAAGAGAGAGAAAAACAGACTGTTCTGTCCAAGAACTGAGCCAGTCAGTTAATCAGTCTCATGGAGAGATACAGAGACAGATAGTTAAAAACAGAGTATTCCGTTACATTCCGTTTTAAGAATTTTTGTCAATATACTAAGCAAAACTCAATGAAGTACGAAATATGCGTGGTGAAATAACTAAAGTTGCATTCAGAGTAATATAACTTTATATGCATGGGGAAAAATCAGTGTAATTAATCTCATCATTATTATTATCATTACCGAGGATCTCCAATAACACAGTTTTGCACCTTTTGGTTAGATTAGTAGATACCTGTTAAAACAATTAAGACTGTAGTCTCTGAAAATGTGTACAGGTGATAGGTATGAAGGATGTAACCTCTATCTTTTCTTGATTTGTTTGCTTTCCGAGTGAAACAGTGGACTTCAGGCTTTTGAAGCCTCAAAGTTTCATCAGCTATCGTTTTGATTTCACAGTATATGGTTGCTAGCCTCATGCCCAATCTTCCCTCCAGTAAACATGAAGTGGTTTAGGAGTGAGTTAGCCATTAATCGAATCAAAAAGCACCTGTGTGGCTGGTAAGTATTCTATCCCTGAACCATCTAACCTGTATCTTAGTGAACGATTATGTTAATAGGGAGACTTAGACTGAACGCCTGCCACTTTTAACTGGGTTAATCAGCTAATGTAGCCACTCAATGAATACGACAGGATATTTAGTAAAAATTAAGTATCTGTTGATTGAAGAGGTTTTGTGCAAGAGAATTATATTGGATTAGTGAACCATATACATTTTTAGTAAACGGTGTAAAACTTGGACACTGTGGTAGTATGTAACTGCATATTAATTTCTTTTTTGTTAGATATTTCACACAGTCAAACAGTACTGTTTACTAAATGACGTTTCAAACACAGTATATTGTTCATAATCAGATCAGCTGTCGCTAGACAACTTCGAAGATCAATTTTTATAGCTGTCTTTCCTCTTCCTTAATTGTCAAAAGGATAGCAGAATTTTTTGAGATGCCAGTGGGACTCCTAACAAGGCAGGAATCAAAGCAGCATTCAAACGCACAAAGTCATTTCGAAACAAATTATGTCGGTTACAGGATGCTGTGCAGCTTATTAAATGAAACCATTTAGTTTGTCTAGTCCTCCGAAATAACTTTGAGGTCAGGTACATAGATTAAAGTAGTGAGCAAGGGTCAGTTAAATTAGCAGAGTACCCATGCTCAGCGAAATATAGGCTGAAAGATACTAATGAGGTAGAAATTCTAGAAGAAACTTCAGCTGTAGCACTATGCTCAATTTCTCACAACCATAAAATAGGAAGGTTCAATGTGACAGTCTTAAAATGTCATGAGGCAGGATGGAGGAGGAGATTGATCACTGAAGCCTTATTTATTAAATCAGCTGAGAATGTGTGTAATGCAGAATGATTCAATACTTATCCCGGACATTTGGCAAATTCCACTCTCCCGACGACAGACTGGAAGAAAGAACTATAAAAATCAAGTTTCGAAGTTGTATGGTTACAACTGATATGTTCACGAACAATAAATTGTGTTCGAAATGTTATCCACTAAGCAATACTATTCCACTGTGTCATATATCAAATAAACAAACTGATACGAAACTAAATCTGTATTGGTTGCAAACTGATAAAGACCGTGAACTATTAAAGTTACCTGTATGTGTAGAGAAACTCTTTAATCGATGACTTTACAATAAAATCAGCTGACACAATTTGAGTGAACATCAGTTTTCTGAGTATTTCCAATTTCAGAAAAAAACAGTGAGAGGATGGTGGGTTTAATAGTAACGAATTACACTTTCATGGTAATACATTTTTATGAATGCCTTTCTTCAGATACCGATTTCACCAAATGTTTTGAGTGTCATTTAAAGTGGTTTTTTCCAAAATGATATTTCATTTAAATTATGTCTACTTTGAGTTAGACTAAATGTAAACTAAGTGGCTTCTGTAATGCCTTTTGACGCTTTTTCGTTCTGTTTAACTGTCTCAAAACTAAGTCAGCTTTTTAGTAGGACCTTTTTTAATCAAAGTATATAACGAAATTATGGTTGTCTGTCTTTTTCTTTCTTTTTAGCTTTTAGTGATGAAAAATAAATAATAACAATAAGTTAAACGCTTTGGAATTTAGACTGCTTATGTTAGAGAAAGTGCGTCGGTGGCAGAGCAGTAGAATTCCCGCTAACTGCATATGTGGTCCAGGATTCGATCTCCGGCTGGAGTAATCCTTTACCTCGCTAAGCCAGTAATGAGACTGGTAAAGAGAGAAGGTTGAGCGGGAGGCCAGCAACCCTGTCCCGTAAAAGTAAACACCACTGCTACTGAAAAAGCTCCAGCTTCATGCCCTGTGTTCCCCTGGGAACATAAAGGAATGATAAAAAGTGTTAGAGAAAATACTCTCTAATTTTATTTCAGACCAGTGTTTGAGCGTTACGCACCGAACACTTCAAATAGTTTTTTTCTACTTAACAGATCGTTTATTGAGAAAATCAAGATATATATATATATAGAGAGATTTTTATGTATATTATTATTCGTTATTGTTAGCAGAGAAGTAATATTTTCTGATTGGTGGTTTTCCTGCTGAAAATTATTCTGTCATCTCTTTGTTGCCGTTTCTTAGACAGTCCGGTGATATATCTGCGAATCGTATCCGGCTACGCTAAGTCTGCTGTGATTGGTTGTTGAGTTCCTCAAGGTTAGGCTTTGTTCTTGTTTTTTCTCATGACCCCGATTTGGGACGTAAACATTGGCGTCAATTGTTGTCTACAATTTTGTCTTGCAGACAGCTGTCAACACACTATTATTATGACGCATCCCTTGCGTTCCAAGTGTAAGATACGGCCACTGTAGTGCATCTCCTTTACACTCACTATTCCGCTATCCCTTTCCTGTGGCTGTACGATAGCTTACAAGTGTTCATTTCCTGCCTACATGATCTCTTCTATGTAAACTTCGGACGCCTCAATCGTAGCTTCCTATTCAGGTTTCACGAGATGACCTGGTTCGTGGTTTTTAACGACAGAATACAGTAACACTCGGTAAAAGAACTGTGGTGGTGCTGAAATACAGAAATCTTACATTAAAATTTCTGTTCATACAAGATGTTCATATTCTGCTTCATTTTTCTTCCCTTCATGCTTCCTATATTGTTTCACAAAGATATTTCATTTCTTCCTCTCCGCAATTTAATCAGTCACTATTTATTCAAAACTTTTGCAGGAGACATCATACGCAACAAATTAATTATAAATTACTGTCTGTAGCACATGCCTCAGTGCTTGTTCAGCTTATCTCTATTTGCTTCTGCATGTTTTCTCAGTTGACAGGTTGTTAACTTGTTCATTGATACAGTCCCTTGCTGCTTATGGTTTCTTGTCGACATCTTATCGTGAAGAGTGAGCCAACGTAGGCTGCAGCCAGTTGGAGATGCTCTTGTTGATGCGCAAAGTCTCTGCACCACACAGAAGCACTAAACTGACATTGGTATTATTATTATTATTCAAAAATTAAAGTAACTACCGAATTCGTGACTTTTTTTGTGTACATTCAGTCCTCAAAGTCTATGTAAGGAATTTGTTAATTAGTAATGACATTTAGTAAGATATTGGAAAACGCTAAGTGTATTTAAGACGTTCCTTTGAAAAAAAAAGAACAAACTGAAACACCAACATACGTTTAAATGTTGTTTTTTGTTTTTGTTTTTTATCCACGTCCATTTAGTACGATGACCCTAGTCGTGAATTTGCTGCAAATCAATTAACACAATTTCGAGTACTTTTTGTCAGAAATGTTTTCTCAATTATGCGTGATTCGGTAAGTTAAACTGAAACTGTGTTCATCTTTTACAACTCTTTTAAATTAACTTATAACATTTATTAAACTTCCTTTGATCAACTGATGAAATCCTGAAACCAATCAAATCCCAACAAACCAACATTTGAATATCAACCTGATGCTCATTAGTGACTGGCTCTATTTAGGTAGGTAGTTACCCGGGTTCTAGTGGGAATTCGTGACCAGTGGGGTACAACAGGTTGGGTGTGAGGACAAATACTCCTGGATGACATTCGCTAGTGGTCGTGCCATATCATGAATTGGCAGAAGTTGGAATTCATAAACCATTGGATCGGGTCCCAGTGGATGAATGGTCTATGAGCTCACTCGGCTTGTAATCAGAAAGCTTTGGGTTCGAATTTCAGTGGGTGAGTATCACTGAAGAACCCCAAACTAGGACGAAGCAGCTGCCCAGCACTCCCAGGTTTTCCAATGATTCTCTAACCGATGTCATTTCATGATGAAATCCTGGAAATAACTGGAATTGAAGTATAAACCTGTGTTGTGACACTTTTTAACGAGCTACTTTCGAGATACTGGCTTCGATATAAATTTAACTTACATAGCTATACGTTATTCTATTTATCCATAAATTACACGATAAAAATCATAAACGATTACCTCATACTGAAGTTAGTTACTAGAAAATGTTGACACCATTTGGTTCTAGTATTGATTTTAAATCAATGCATTAAATGAAAAGTGAATATTTTACATGAAAGTGTCCCCCATAGAGTCTATCAGTTTTCAAGTGTTAGTTTGTACGGATTCGTCTGATTTCAAGTTAGATCACTAACCAGAATCAATTAGAGAGCCTTTGAAAACTTAACAGTTATTTTGTCTTGGTTTGGAAGTCTTCACATTACACATCTATCATCTCAACGAGGCTCTAATCCGATGACTCCCCGGGTTTCAGTACTTTCCGAACTAATATCGGTTTGCCATTTCACCTGAAACTTTGGTTTTTCATAGAATGTCACATTTCTGATTTTAAGTAAATTATAGTAATGAGTAACAGAGTGTTCGATGCCGTAGTTGAATTTTAACAAAATAACAAATATAAATTTTTAGATTGTGATAAATTTATTTCCTTGGCTTAAAATAAGCTGATCTTTGCGCATTGGTGATCTGTTGTTATGCCTCCCCATATAGTATTTAACCTACTAATGTGCACATTGAAATGATGCTGAAACAGGTTATGATATAATTTCGTAAAAACATGTTGGGAGAATTAGAGCTTATAACGTCAAGTGATTGTTAGGTAGAGTATAATGTTGTGCAAATGTTTCAAGAACCAATAATTATTAGAAGGAAGCATAATCGACTTTATTACTAATGATTATTGTTCCCTTTGGTTCCAAGTGGTAAACAAGGCTTGAACAACAAATCTCCATCTCATTCTGTTCTCTGCGGTTTCTTCTGGTTGATTCCAAGATTACCCATAAGCTTTCATCCCCTCCACCTCACAAGATCTCCTCAGTGTCACCCTTCGACGTTTAACTCAACATTTCTCAACTAGGTTCCATTCGAGGACCTGCCTTTCGTGCGATGTTACTCAATGCTCTCCTCAGAGGACGTCCGATACGTTTCCCATTCCCTCTGCATATTTGTTGTGCAATAGTTTCTTTATTGGCTCGTTACCAGAGTTCCCTGTTGCTAACCGTTCCTAGTCATCTGATTTTCAGTATGGAGCAAAGGCAGTCAACTTTATCAAGACAACTTTATTTCCAGTGAATACCATGTATTAGGCCATATTTCATAGTGTTATTCCTCACTCTTAAACTATATTTACTAAACATCTATACGTACAATATTTTTTAAATTGACAGGATACTCTTGTCTTATCGTGGAGATGTTATTAGGCTTTCAGCCAGTCAGTTTTGAATTCGAGTCCCTCACCACTTATTTCTGCCTGAACATCTCGGTAGTATCATCAATTAACACACAATGGGTACGGCTGATAGTCTGAAACTTGAAGAATATGTTTTGAAACCTTAGCTCAAAAAGAAAACTAGTCTAACCGTATTACCACTTTAACCTTACCTCATAGTACTTCACGCTACACAGTATTACATCATCTGATCAACTTTTATTCAGTGTTTACCTAACTTACCGCCACTACCATCAAAGAAAGCAGCCAGATCATATATCAGAGTTGGATAATTCTTGATTAAGTTGATGAGATTCACTTTCATGTAGAACTTTCCAGTGCGTACAACAGTCTAGCACCTAATTTTTTCATCAATACAATCAATATATTTATTTATATAATAACTATAGCTCACTTTAGTCAATGCAAAAGGGAAAAATGTTATGTGTATATAATTAGCATGCATGGAATATTGTCGTCGCTATGGTAAAACTACATACCAAAATACAATGTTGACAGTACCTAAGTCTCTCTATATGAATAGCTAGTAGAGAAAAAAAGTAGATTAGTTATGTTAATGAGAAATAAGTTACCCAATAGCCGACTTTCAACATATGTCTTTAAGCACAAATTTGCAGAATATTGTGTGTGAATTGCCTAAGTTGTTAATATTTCATATTCTTTTTTAATTTATGTAGTAGATTAAGTGAAATTGGGTCGCATGGCGCCAATTACGCATTATGACACAGGTTTAAGTTTATTCCGTCTCGCTGTGACTGAATTTTGACAAAATATGTATTTCTGTAGTTGTCCAAAATTGGGAACTGAACTTGTTTTACTGAATAAAAATTAGTGAACGGTAAATTAAGGCGACAGGGAGGGGAGGGGGAAGCGGGAGCTCCGTGATCCACGTTGACTAAATGTTTATACCATAGTTGCATTAACTTCACACTTACTGGGACATCTCATATTCTAACGATTTCTAAGAAATTGTTCTGTCTAACCTACTACATTAAGAAACTTAGACAATCTAGAATCACCCAACCTCTACTTTCACAATTTGTCAACTCTTGTATCTTACCTATTCTACTTTACTGCTCCCCGTTAGTCTTTCCTGGTCTACTGAAAAAGGACTATACCATCCTGAGAAGGATGTTGAAAGTAGTCAGTAGGACTAGTGGTGTAAAACTCAGTCAGCTCGTCACTACATCAATTGATAGGCATCTGAATACATGCGAAAAGTGGTCTAAAACCATACTCTCCGACCCCCAACACCCCCTCTATTCCCAACTCTCTCCTTGTATCTCATCAAGTAGAACCCGAAATTAGTATAAAATAATCTATGCCCGTGCTACCAAGTACAGGGACTCAACGATACCATACTTGGCCCGTGTTCTAAGTGACAGAGACAGTGTTAGGCGCGAAACCTATGACTTGCTTTGTTATTAATAACATAATTTTAGGCTCTTTTATTTTTCTCCTATTCTGTATTCTATAGAGAACTCCTTCTTAAACATACTTAGATAGCTAAATTATTAACATTGGCTTACTTTTGTACTTTACTGTATTCCTTCTTTCGTGTATCTACTGGTTCCGACTATATTAGCACTATCAGTAGTACAAAATTGTCCAGTCATTAACCATCATGTAATTATTAGTTTCTGTGGTTGTTTTTGTTTTTTTTGTTTGACAATATTTAACTATCTTGGTTGTGAAAGCCATCTTAAAATTTCGTATTATGCAGGATTACTCACACTACCACTACAAACACCACATTAGACCTGATAAAAAGAAACAACCCTGAAATGTTATTTTATGATTGTTTAGTGTTGTTTCAACTTAAATTAACTGATCATCTTGACGATAAACATTCTTAAATATCATTTCATAACTTCTTGTATGACTATAGCTTTACTGTCACCATGCATAATCATATCATAGCTTCCACTACCCAGTACTGAGATATTATTATATGCTTTTTATTTTCCCTTCTACTTCTTAGTATTTTTTCGCATTTAAAATAAATTATTTTGTGTTTTTTGTGTTTTTTTGCTGTTGGTGTCTTTATATTTATTTTTTTGAAGTACTCCTTTTAAATGTTTGATAAAACTAGGTGCAAATATTGTAGATATGTGCTGAAAATTCCACACTGTACCACTAGTACTGTTTCTGGAATAAAGCAAATTGTTATTCTTAAAGTTAAGTTAATAACGCCTTGTAAATACGTTCAACAAATACACGATTTTATTTGCCAGTATAACAATGAGTTTCCTTAAAGTAGGATCTTTTTCTAGACGACATACTGACGAATTCCAGCTGTTGATTAGAAAAAAATCAGTGATCTAAGATTTGTCAGCCGAAAATGTCTCTCTCACGAAATCGTTGGTACTGTTGAGTTGTCTACAAAGTTGAAATTTCCACTTATACTGTTGTGGTGTAATATTTACCTCAACAAAAAACACTAGCTACAGTCGTTTTAGGTGAGTAATTTTCAGAGCATTTCAAGTTCTTCATTACACATGGATTCATTTTTATCTCTTCTAGTCCGTATGGTGTGAAAGCATGCCCTTAAATTCACCCATTTCAGGTAGTAAATGTTATCTGATAGTGACATGCAGGCAGCGATTTTCAAAATTAAGCATATAAGATTTTATCTGCATAGTTTCAAGCTAGTATGTATGACCTATTGCATCAGAAAGGCCTTATTATGTATTGCATTCTAGTTGCAGTCATTTAAACTGGTGTATTTTGAGGGTATACTTTAACATCTGGTCCCTTGATAGAATATATGAATTAGATTTCTTATTTCAGTTCAAAATCTTTCTGTTGTAAAATATGTAGCTCACTGGTTTACTTTCAAATAAAAAGGGTGACACTTAGGTATATTACAAGGAACTGTATAACCGACTCTCAACTTAGTTCCAGTAGATTATCCTGTTCCGATAACTAGTTCTATACACGAGTGATTAAGTATTCTTGTAAGGCTTATCCATTTTTATTTTCACCTCATTATTATTGAAACACTGAGCCAATCTATCTTCTATCTTTCTTCTTTTATTTTTCTCCTCTAACATGATACTTGATAAAATGAAGCCTTCTTTCCTTTACT